AGCGATGGCCCCGGGACTGTTGGCGGAGAGGCCGGGCAGAGAGCTTCCCGCCCACAAGCTCTGTTTTTCTGCTAGAAAGGCGATGGCCCCGGGCCGGGGACGGTTGGCGGAGCGGCTGGGCAGAGAGCTTCCCGCCCACAAGCTCTCTTTTTCTGCTAGAAAAGATGGAAGGGAAAAAAAGAAAAAAGCTAAAAGCAAGATTTGCGATAAAAAGCTGCCCGCGGAATGATCCACGGGAGGTCCTGTTGAAAGTTCAAGCCTGAAAACCTCCACTGGCACGTCCCACCAGAAGCTGCCCTTGTGAATGGCTGCCCCATCCCACTCCCCCATGGCTCAAAAGTCTACTGGAAGGCTGAACCATCCGATAGAGAAGAGGTTGCCACCCGCCCAGGCCTGTCCTGACCCGCCACAGAGGTGCCACCTGCCCAGGCCTGTCCACCTGAGGAACCCCCAGGTGGGACTTCAGTCCCAACGTCCAGGTCTTTAGCTAAATTTCTCCCCGGTTTAAGCATCCAGTTTCCTTGGAAAACCACCACCACCACCAAAACCATACCTTCCACCCCCCTGCTTCCCAGCATCCCTGGCTGAACCATCCGATAGAGAAGAGGTTGCCACCTGCCCAGGCCTGTCCTGACCCGCCACAGAGGTGCCACCCGCCCAGGCCTGTCCTGGGTGGGTGGCCCCTCTGTGAGCCTTTGAGGAACCCCCAGGTGGGACTTCAAGTCCCAACGTCCAGGTCTTTAGCTAAATTGCCCCCCGGTTTAAACATCCAGTTTCCTTGGAAAACCACCACCATCAAACCATACCTCCCACCCCCCTGCTTCCCAGCATCCCTCGCTACCTTTGGTAAATCTAACCCTAAATTTAACAGCAGCAGATGTTGCATACGGAACGGACCTCCTGCGCTGATGGGGAGGACACGGTGAGAAGAGTGAAACCGACTGGGGAAGAAGGGTTTCTTTTCTCCTGGCATCGTCTCCCTCCTCTGTGGGGAGCAAACGAATGCTTGGCAGGGGCCTTGGGCAGGCAGAGCTCTGCCGGTGGGTGAGCAGACCCAGGGTGAAGGATCAGGCTCTTCACTGGGACATTTCCCTGCCCATCAGCCAAGCTCGCCAATGGAAATCCCACCGCAGGGCCAATACACTCTTTGCTTCTGTCCCCACCGTTGCTGCTTCTCTATCAGATGGTTCAGCCTTCCAATAGATATTTGAGCCATGGGGGAGTGGGATGGGGCAGCCATTCACGAGAAATCCCACCACAGGGCCGATACGCTCTTTGCTTCTGTCCCCACCATTGCTGCTTCTCTATTGGATGGTTCAGCTTTCCAGTAGATTTTTGAGCCATGGGGGAGTGGGGTGGGGCACCCATTCACGACGGCAGCTTCTGGTGGGATGTACCAGTGGAGGTTTTCAGGCTTGAGCTTTCAACAGAAGGACGTTACCCAACTTGTCTTCACCAGTATCATCTTGTGTGACAGACAGACAGGCTTTCGGACAAGTGTCTGAGCAAACTTCCTCTTCTCCTGGACCCGGCAGGATGAGAACATATACCCTCCTCCATGCATGGGAATAAAGGTTTGGTTGCAAATCACCTTCAGGAAGGGAGTCCTTTTTTCATTGGGCTCCCCTTGCATCCATCAGTGTCACTAGAACTTGCTGTGGCGTGTGGAGCTTGAGGTGTAGAGCTCGGGGTGCCTGGACCCGGCAGGATGAGAACATATACCCTCCTCCATGCATGGGAATAAAGGTTTGGTTGCAAATCACCTTCAGGAAGGGAGTCCTTTTTCACCGGGCTCCCCTTGCATCCATCAGCGTCACTAGAACAGGCTGTGGTGTGTGGAGCTTGAGGTGTAGAGCTCGGGGTGTGGGTGCAGTGAGGGTGGGAGGGGAACCCCCAGCAAGTTGAGCACCCTGGGTCTGCTGCTGTAAAATTATGGCAGCTGCTGGATCCTGTCACCGGGCTCCCCTTGCATCCATCAGCGTCACTAGAACAGGCTGTGGTGTGTGGAGCTTGAGGTGTAGAGCTCGGGGTGTGGGTGCATCAGTATCATCTTGTGTGACAAACAGGCTTTCAGACAAGTGTCTGAGCAAACTTCCTCTTCTCCTGGACCCGGCAGGATGAGAGCATATACCCTCCTCCATGCTTGGGAATACAGGTTTGGTTGCAAATCACCTTCAGGAAGGGAGTCCTTTGTCACCGGGCTCCCCTTGCATCCATCAGCGTCACTAGAACAGGCTGTGGTGTGTGGAGCTTGAGGTGTAGAGCTCGGGGTGTGGGTGCAGTGAGGGTGGGAGGGGAACCCCCAGCAAGTTGAGCACCCTGGGTCTGCTGCTGTAAAATTATGGCAGCTGCTGGATCCTCACTGATGTACTTTAGAAAGGTAGAATGTATTTTAGAAGGTATAATCTCTCACTGAGCAAGAGCAAAGAGCTGTAAAGAGGTTACAGGGCCCTGTGAAACTGGACTCTTTGTATAAACAATAGATGCTTTGCTAATGAATATACCCTTGAACAGAAGGCTGGTAACAAGGGAACATTCCTCCGCAGAAGGCACCAAAACCGGCTGAAAACTGGACAGCTGGATGAAGCATAAAGTCAAGAAAGATCTGCAGTAACTGGGGAGGTTTACAGATGGCAGTAGGGGACTGTAACCACCAACTCAAATAGAGAGTGAACAGAACTACCCCTCCCACTGTACTAGAGCATGTACACATCAATTAAAGGACATTGTAGCTTTAAAGGAAAGCAAGAGACAGTACTAATCAATATTAATTGTTAAGATAAGGTACTAACCAGTAATTAAAGGTGTGTATTTCTGTGTTTTGAACTGTATAAGGAAAGCAAGAGACAGTACTAATCAATATTAATTGTTAAGATAAGGTACTAACCAGTAATTAAAGGTGTGTATTTCTGTGTTTTGAACTGTATAAATATTTTGATGAGTTTGTAGGCCAGTGTGCTAGCTTTGTGGATTACCACCTGCACCCATCTCTGCAGAAATGACTTAAATAAATACCTCTACTCTGTGTGTATATTAGTGTCTTGCACACCAGATAAATGATCCCACTTCGGGACACCACCTTCATGTGCCAGGGTACAAATTCCTTTTAGGTAGACGTAAAGAACGAAAATCACCTAAAGAATGAAAAACACCCAAAGAATGAAAAACACCCAGATGTCAACATATTCCGCTGTGTGCAGAGCCAGCGAGTATTGTTCTCCAAACAAGGCAGCCAGTGATGACTTTCTGTTTCTCACATTGTGCGTTTTCATGGACAGTCTTTAGTTTGTATCCTGTGTTGTTTTAATTTCATCCATTAAGCACTTGTATGTTTTCAATGCTGTCAGCTTCAGTTCAGGGGCTACTGTACTGGGTTTTGCCTGGAGGAAAGATTCACTAGCACTAAAACTACTTGGCTACTGGGATTTTTGGAAGTATAGACCACAACCAAAGTACTTCTTTTTAGCCCTTTCTGCCATCTAGTGCCCATCTCTGTTCGTGCATTTAGACTCAAGAGACCACAGGTCTCAAAAACCCTAAATTAACCCTAGATGTCACACTCAGCAGCCTGGGGAAGGGACCTTTGTTTATCAGAAGCAATGATCAGCTCCCACTGGTTCCAGAATGTGGTTTCCCAAGGCGTAGCCGCAAAAATTGTATTTTCAAACTTTTTTTTTCTTTTAACCTACTATGCCATAGCTTAAATCAAATACTGTGATTTGCAGGCCTTACATTTAAAGCTGAATTGGTTCTTCCATGGTGTCATTAAAATTTGAGCCCGCTTTGAGATGATGTAACAGATAATAGAAGGGTTAAAATAACTTGTCTTAATAGCGTGCTGCTTGGGTTTCTGGACTTCCACTGTGCTCTCCGAAGCCAAAACTTCTCTTCGTTGTCAGCAACAAGTGGAGGTGGCAAAACAAAGTTTTTAATGCAGTAATGTCACCTGTAAGTTTTATTTGCCTGCCCTGACAAAAGAACAACCAAGCAAAAACAGTAACAAGAGAATCGTGGTATTTTCCCCGACACGTTTACACAGTCCCTTTGTCACAGCTCACACCAAGCTGCAGGCCCCTCTGCCTTTCCGCAGCGGTGGGGACCACCTTCATGTTTGCTGAGGGAGGGTACCGACATCTTCACGTCAGATGCTTGTTCTCACATACAGGATTTGGGAGGAGGGACATAAATTCTACAACATAAACCCCACCCCTCCTGCCAGGCTGTCAAGGGGTGCTTTTTCTCTCATCGGGCTGCAACAAATAGCTCTTTTAATGACTGTCTTTACTTCAACCCTTCCAGCAGAGATGGAGAGGAACCAGGTATGCCTTGGAAAACCAGGGGCACCTAATGTCTGCTTCTGGGGAGTGGGACAAGTGTCAAGAGTAATGAAGTTCTGCTGTGCTCTCTGCTGAAGTCCTTACTGGTATTTTTTTAGGGACAGTCCACCCTTCTTGTGCCAGATGCCCCCTCTTCAAGATGAGCCAGGAAGGGAAATAACCTAGTGGGTGGCCTATAGGAGCCAAAACATAGCCAATGGACCTGTTCGTCTTTTGTGCGTGTCTCAGCCCACGGGCCTGTATGTCTTCCCCATCCAGCCATCTACCAGCACACACACTTCAGATATTCACCCACTCCTACCATCATATTACCACCTCTGGGGGGCTATCTCTCCATCCCTAACTCCTCCGTTTCACCTTCTTTCCTTTGTTTTGTACCATCGGGCCCACCGGTGTCGTCAACGACCAGCGCAATGCCCCGCGTAGGTGTGAGGCAGATTAATATGGCAAAGCACAACACTTGACTATGGTGTGAGAGGGTTAGCCATGTATGCCATGTGGGATATTACAGCAGCAACACTTCGTTAAGCATACAACTACTAGCGACATAATCAATCATGGATACATCTCATTGTGCTCTCGCAACGTTCTCCGGGCAAAGGGGGAGGTGGGGGGAGGATTTACAAGCTGTTCTCCCCCCTCCACCAAAGCAGGCAGGCTGGAGGTAAAGCTACCTCAGCTGGAGGAAACCAGTAGGAACCTAGTAGCTTGGTCTAGTGCAATGGAAGTCTATGAAGAGTATTGTCCAGTATTTCCTGCTGGGCAGAAAGGAGAGATTGGGACATTACTAAATATAAATAGCATGGGCGCTCTGTCACATTAAATACTTTACATGTTCACACCCTTGGCTGTACACAGCACGCAGGATGTTGGGGGCTTTTTTTTATTTTCCCCACGACCGTGCTTTCCCCAAGTGAAACTGTGTACCTTACTTTTGTAGAGCTGAGAGTCCTGATGCACATGGTTACAGATCACATATAGTGGATAAAGAGGGAATATTATACATAGTGGGAAAGAGGAATATTATACATAAATGTAAAAGCAGAGTATAGTGGAATTGCCTAGTGCCTCCCACAGTCAGCTGAATTGCAGTCTGGCAGGAAAAGCTTACGGAGGCAAGGCAGCATGCAGACTTCTGCTTAAGCCCCACCAGAGGCAATCTTCACTTGTCCTTCTGAGATGTCCTGGTTTGGATAAAGCAAACACAAATTCAGTCCAAGGCTCCCCAGACGTAGTCCCTCCTCTGGAGGCACGTGTGTTACCCTGCCGGCGCTAACAGAAAGGTGTGGTGGGGCTGTGTCACAGGACTGTGTCTTTGTTGTCTTTCCCGTTCAGAAGCAAGAGGTGAGCAAGTTCCTCTTGGGGGACTGGTGTGCTTTTCACGATCTTCTTTCGTTAGGAATGTACCGTGTTCTCTGTGACAGAGCCACCTCCAGTGCCTATAAAATTTCGGGAGTTAGCCGATGGCAGGGAAGGCTCTGCCTCAGGGTTTGGTACCTCTTCTTTGGTGTCTCCCACCACTGACTCCTGCGAGCTGGTCTCCGGGCTGGACGCTGCCTGGAAGCCGGGCTCAATGCTGAGGGGCTCGTTGTTTTGCAGGGGAAGCAGGGCCCGGTGCCGCATCAGGCTGTCGTCGCTGTTCTGGGCCTCCAGGGAGTTCCTGCGCTTGGTGTTCCTGTTGGCCATGGCGTTCTTCTGCGGCTCCTCAAAACTCAGCGACAAGGTGACTGTGCCGCTCCCAAAGCTGACTTTTTGCTTGCACCCACGCTGCTGCTGGCGCTGCCGCTCGGCGGTGGCCGGGAGAGGAAAAGGGTCTTCATGGTTGCTTTTGCTGCTGATGGAGGATGAAGGAGTGGAGCCGGTGGAGCCCCCCAGGCTGTTGGAGCGCTTGCGTGACACGTTGCTGCGTCTCAGCGTGGCCCTGGCAGCCACCTTGAAAGCGTGGGCAGCTGTGCTGCAGCGCACTTCCTCGATTGTGTTGCGGGAGGGCTTGAAGAGGATGATGTAGACTTTGTTGAAGAAGATGCAGGCCAGGAGCCCAAAGCTGGCAGCCAGTATCGCAATCACCTCCACGGCAGAGACAAACTTACCGTACGTGCTAGCGTAAGCAGGAATGAAGGAGATCCAGACGATGAAGAAGATCAGCATGCTGAAGGTGATGAACTTGGCCTCGTTAAAGTTCTCAGGCAGCTTTCGAGACTTGAAGGCGAAGAAGAAGCAGATGGCCGCCAGGAGGCAGGTGTAGCCAATGAGGAAGCCAAGGGCCATCAGGGAGCCTTCGTGGCAGGTGATGAAGATAATCTCATCCTCCAGTTCATGGTTTCGGTAACTTGATGGCGGGGCCGTATAAAGCCAAATCACACAGATGACGATCTGCACGAATGTACACAAGAAGACCAGGAGGAACTGGAGATTGAGGCCCCACCACTTTCGGTGGAGGCTTGTGGGGATCTTTGCCTCGAAGACGAGCAGGACACGGTTGGTTTTCACCAGGATGCAGGAGATGCAGAGGACAAAGCTGATGCCAAAAGCTGGCTGCCGCAGACGGCAAGTCCAGTTCTGGGGCTCACCAATGAAGAACAACGAGCTGGAGAAGCAGCAGAGCAAGGAGAAGAGGAGGAGGTAGGACAGCTCCCGGTTTGTGGCTTTGACGATAGGCGTGTTGCGAAATTTGGTGAAGACTCCCAGGACAAAAGAAGTCAAGAAAATTCCCAGCACAGCAAAGAGAGTCAGAGCGATCCCAAAGGGCTCAGTCCAGGATAGAAACTCTATCTGCTTGGGGATGCAGGACGTATGGTTCTCATTGGACCAGTAATCCTCAGGGCACTTGTCACAGGCACTTGCATCTGAAAAAGGAGTGACAAGGAGAGGGAAGGTTTGTCAGAACGAGAGGCTGAAATGTGGGATGACGTATATGGCAGCTATGCATTGGCCTTCACCTTAAACACACTGGGTGTTCCCCTCAGGTGTCTGCAGGTTCCCAAAATCATATGTTGGTGTCTCAGAGTGTTCTATACTGAAACAACCAGCATCCTATGGGCTATGTAGCAAACCACAAAGCATACTTAGCTCCAGCTTAAAAAAAGCCCCGCCCCTGCACTCGTATTTTTGGAATCCATTTCTTGGCAAAACTTTGCAAACTTTGATTGCTATTGCTACACAGGCTCTGTCCCTCTCTCTTTCTTATTCCTTCAGTTTTATCATCTACTTCTGTCTGTCTTCCTTCCTCTAACACTTTTACTATCATTTGAAACATCCTGACTGTCTCTATTACAGAGAAAATTAAAAACGTGCTTGCCTCCTTAAGTGCTTTGAGAGCCTATTTCATATTCCATGGAGGCGAGTCTTCCAAGTGTTTAAATTGCTCTTCCCTGAAGGCAGGCAATGCCCTTGACTCCCATCACACTCTCATTTCATGTTGGAACATCAGGGGAAAATGTGTCTTAATGATATCACTCTCCCCACACCCAGCAAAGCATCCCACTGATACTTGCAAAGGAAAAAGTGAAACCTTCATCTCTTTCCTCTGCATGAAACTAGTTGTGCCTGCTGGGATGGTAATGTATGTCTCCAATCGCTTCCAGGATCAAAAGGCAAGGACCTGGTGCTTCTGCTCTTCTTCTTCAACCCAAAAGACCGGTCTTTTGCAGCACTAGGGAGTGTCACGACTCCCTTGATAAAAGTGGAAAGGGGCTGAGAGCAGCGAGTTGGAAGTCACAACCTACCTCAGCCTTTGGGATCCCAGCATAGCAATGGGCTGCAGTGAATTTTGGGAACAAACATTCAGAAACCTCCTTTAGCACCAACCTCCCTCTGAGCTTCGCACCTGAGCACGGACAGAGACCCGGAGCATAGCTCCCAGAGCAGAGCTTGACTCTAATGAGAAAGCCAGGAATGCCCAGCTAAGGAGGGCAGGGGATTTCAAGTTCTCTTGTTTTGGAGGGCTGGTTGGAAGGACCATCCGTGATCTCATACAATACTGCTTTCCTAATGACTGCTTGCCTCACCTAAGCTCTTCTCTTGTACTCGATGCAAAAGCTCAGTCAGAAGCTCTCATTCACCACATGTTATTTCATTTACATCCACTCAGCCCATCATTTCTATTTTGCTTGTGACTTTTACCTGGAGGTCTATTGCAAGCTGCAGGCAAGGCAGAGCTAACCTCACATAGCAGGGAACTCAATCAGCTCTACCAGAGACAGGGGCAGCTAATTAGAACCGCATCCTAAAAACGTGCTTCCACTGAGGACAGGTTGAGGGAGCTGGGGTTGTTCAGCCTGGAGAAGAGGAGGCTCCGGGGAGACCTAATAGCAGCCTTCCAGTACCTGAAGGGGGCCTACAGGAAGGCTGGGGAGAGCCTGTTTACAAAGGCCTGCAGTGACAGGACGAGGGGCAATGGCTTCAAGCTGGAGGGGAACAGATTTAGACTGGAGATTAGGAGAGGGTTCTTCACTGGGAGGGTGGTGGAGCACTGGAACAGGTTGCCCAGGGAGGGGGTTGAGGCCCCTTCCCTGGAGATATTCAAGGAGAGGCTCGACGAGGCCCTGGGCAACCTGGTCTAGTTGGGGGTGTCCCTGCTGACTGCGGGGAGGTCGGACTAGATGACCTTTGGAGGTCCCTTCCGGCCTGGGCAATTCTATGATTCTATGATTCTGCGTTCTCTTGGGCTGACCTGGAGACCATGCTACCACTGAAAGGAGTAAACCACATCTCCCTCCTTCCCCAAAGCTGCTCATTCCCGATCCCTCCTTTGTGTTAGCACTACGGATCACGCAGCTTCTCATTCTAGCTGCGAGGTCACCTGCTGAGCGTTTGTTTTCAGGAAGACCAGAGACCTGGTCCAACTCTCTCTATGGTTGCCCGAGTGCCAGCACTGCTCCCAGACAAAGGGTGGGAGCAAACAGCTGGGAGAGGACAGGATGGATTGTCACATTCTGTAGCATCGGTGTCTCAGCTGCATGAGACTGGTTGTAAAACTGCTCTCTACGCCTATAAAACTGGCAAGCACAGGAAATAAAGAGCGTTACTGTCAGCTGAAATAGCAGCAGGGAACTGTGGAGTCTGAAGGCAGTCTCCCCCTCAGCCCCATGAATTTCACAGCATACCAGTGCTAGCTCCCAAAATAATGTGAAAACCACCAAAAGACCCCTATTACACATGACCAGAATTGCTTCTATTTAATTTGAAAATGTTACTTCCAAGCATCCTGTAATAGTATATATTTATGCTTAAAAATTACCATTCCTGTCGGATAGGACACAAATTAGATTCTCCCAAAAGAGAACACTTGGTCAGTTTTGCAAGCAGCTTACTCAAGTTTTCATCTTGGCCAAGGTCTGCAGCGTGTGCTGGGACCAGTGCTGCTGGAAAGGGTGTGAGGAGATCCTGAGCACTCTGGAGTGGGAAGGTGGCTGCTGTTCTGAAACGATTTATTTGCATTCGTTATCCTGGGGATGCTCAACACTGAGGGAGCACTAATGGTGTTGGAAATTCAGGGTTTTTCAACCAGTGCTAAAACTGAGGTTACCTTTTCCCTCCACTGCAGAACCTGAGTGGCTTGATCCACACTTCCACTGAAACCAACAAAAAAGATGTCCAAGAACCTGAGTGTCTTGATCCACGCTTCCACTGAAACCAACAAAAAAGATGTCCATGGCTGTTTGATAGGACCCAGAGATTCTGGTCTCTTGCAGTGCCAGTGCTCAACAGAAGCTGTAATTGGTGATCCCATGAAGGGAAATATTCCTCTCTGCTTTTGAAATCAGGGATGGAATGGCCTTCATTCCTTTGTAAAGCACGAAATAAAACCTTGAGAACATGAGGAAAAGATGGAGGCAGAGAGATAACTACAGAATTTTGGATTAGGGTAGGGAACGTCTAATTCCTCCAGGTTTTTGGAGGAACAAAAGCTACTGCTACACTGCAATGGAGTTTGCTTGTGGCTGCCTGAGAGCCTTCCTATATGCAAGTCCTTTTTCAAGTTCTCCGCCTTAATTTTCCTAATGCAGAGCAGAAGGGACAAGCTTAGCAGAAGACAGGAGCTGAGGACCACAGGATTAACTCCTTGAGGACCACAAGACCACTGTAAGCTTTTCAGAAGCCCCTCCAGACTTTCTGGGAAGCCCCCTAGCGAGGCAGCTTCCAGCTGGGCACTGCAGGGAAGCAACTTCAGCACAACTCCAGGTGATGCCCAGAGGGCTCGCACGGTCCTCTTTGCGAGCCCCAAAGCAGCTCCGTGGGTATTACCTGTTTCATCACTGTACTCCCCGTCGGGGCAGTCCACGCACTCGAAGCAGCAGGTGGGCTCTCCCTCAATAATGCCCTTCCTGGTGCCTGGAAGGCAGTCCCTGCTGCAGTTAGAGAAAGGCACCTGCAAAAAAAAGAACCCAAGGAGGGTTAATGGTAGCAATGCTCCACGTACAGCCTTCCTACAGCAGGACCTGGGTGTTATTGCTTGATTAGCACACTAGATGGAAAGCCTCAGAAGCTCACCCCTTCCCTCCACAGAACAACCAAAATTTGTACAATAGTTGTTCCCCAACCCATGGCAGTGGTATTGTTTGAAAGAACACATCAAGGGATGTAACGAAGATCAGCAGATCTTTGTAATCTTTACTGTGTTGTGGACATCACGAAGTGGTATGTGATCCATGATACACATACCAGAAAACAGTCCACGAAGTGTATCATGTGATCCATGATACACATACCAGAAAACAGTCACTGGGTGGTTAAAGGAAAAGACAATGAATCTCTCTTGTTCCATTCTTTAAAGGGTGGCTACAAAGAAAATGGATACTCTGTTTTTATGAGGAGTCATATGGAAAAGATGATGGGTAATGGGTACAAGTTACTCCTGTGGAGATTCTGACTGGACACGAGGAAAATTTTTCACAAATAGAACAATCAGCCACTAAAATAATCTCCCCTGGGGAAGTGGTGGATTCCCCAACATTGGACACTTTTAAGATTCAGCTGGACAGGGTGCTGGGCCATCTTGTCTAGACCATGCTTTTGCCAAGAAAGGTTGAACCAGATGATCCTTAAGATCTCTCCCAACCTGGTATTCTATGATTCTACTGACAGGAATTTGAGTCAGCCTTGGAGGTGATGGGCTCTGACTGCTGATCCCCAGTCCCATTGACTGCTAATGATTTATGGGAATTAAAACAGTTTCTCAAAACCTACTTCCTCCTGTTCTCCTGTAGACACTCTCCAAACCAAAAACAAAAAAGGCAAATTAACTAAACAAGAGGAGTTTTCATATGAAAGAAAGAAAGGCCCTGATTTTAGAACACTGAGCATCTAAAGATGCAAATCAGCAGCTATATGCAGATCCAAAGGCTTCCAGACTTCTGCTGCTGCAATGATGAGCTGTGTCACCTGCTGGCTGTGCATTTATGCTGTGTGTGAGCCCACCTGGGCACAGACATATCCTAGGAGCAAGTGGTCGCATGGGCATGCTCAACACATGCCTAATGCACACTCACACCAAGGAGTTCAGCATGATGAGTGAAAACCTGGGTCTTTTTTACACAGAAGCACAACCGGAGGTTGAGCTCACCTTTTCCTAACTAAATTAAGGAAAGAGAGCTGACACAGAGCATGGCTTTCTCAGCTCAGGGGAGTTAAACCCACAATTTCTACTGCCAGCAAAGTACCATGATGTGCATATACTTAAGGGCTGCTCTGATTGGAACCCTCCGTTCACCTTTTTGGAAGATTGCTGCTAGTTTGCCCAAGTGCTCCTAACCTGCTGATCTCCAGGAAGCTCCTGCGTGGATGCACTTAGGCAGTGAGTCCAGGATATGGTTTGGAAATCGCCCGTGTGCAGGCATTGACCTCAGCCACAGGGTAACCAAGCCCTTGGTAGAGGCAACTCCTATGAGGAGATTCTCATTTCATAACCCTGGTATTTGCCTGCAGCTGGGAGCAGTTGCCATTGCCTATCATCCTGCAGTACAGCTGCAGCACAGTTTGGAAACACTGTTTCTGAGCTGTTAATCAGGATTGCATAATTAATTGGACAGACGCATATCCAGGGCAAATCTCTGCATCTCCCTACTTGAAGCACTCTTTGCTGTTAATACCTATTGCTATTAATACAGTGTGCTGGTAATACCTGTTCCCTGGGAGAGGTTGTGTACCCACCAAGAGGACTTCATCAGGCTAGACAGTCTTTGGGAAAGAGAGTCTAAGCTGTCACTGGTGATTTTGAACAGGGCTGAATCAAAGGCCCAACTGAAGTCACGCACTGCTTCCCCATTATCTACTAAATTGATTTCGCTTTCAAGGAGGAAAATTAAATTAGTTTGGGGTGATTTCATCTTGACAAATCCATGTTGGCTTTTTCTTATCAGTTTATTATCCTCTAAGTGTTTATAAACTATTTAATTTTTTTTTATCAAGTCTTTTAGGTTACTGAAACTCAGCTCAATTGTGTGTAATTCCCTTGGCTCTCCTGTATCTGCTTTTAAAAATAGGTATTACGATTACTCTCCTCTAATCCTTTGAGACATCACCCATCCTCCACATTTCTCAAAGATGAATTGCTAGTACTTTTGAGATTGCTTTGGCTGCCTTCGTAAGTTTTCTGTGGGGAATTTCATCAAGTTCTGCCAAAATGAATCTATCTTACCTACTCTTTAACTTGTTCTTCTGCAAGTTGGGCCAATGCTGAAGTTCCTGTGTTAAAATTAACTACATTTAATCTTTTTTGAGGATGACGGAGTCATAGAGGACTTCAATGAGTGAAGTACTGGCTACACTCTTTGAGCAGAGCATTTTATCTGTAAGAAATTCAAACCTCATGAACTGGGAAAAAAGCTGCAACGGTCGTAGAGACTACAACCCCCTTCACTGGCACACAATTTACGTGCCCTGCCATGACACTCAGTGACGACTGTCTGTCACATTTTTAACAGTTTAGGACAGAGAATAAAGAAAAGTATTGCAGTGTTGGAGGAATTTAGACCAAAAGAACATAATTACTTAGTTTAAGTTTTAAAAAAAAAGTAAATTCTGCTTGTTGGAAGAGGTGTCAGTAGCATTTGCACTGATCAGAAGAAGGGGTTAGAATATCAGGGGTTTTTAACTCCACTTGTTGTTTGGGCTCAGAGTCTCCAGCTGGGCTTAGAAAAGCCTGAGCTCCGTATTTCTGCTGCAGCGTGCTCTGCCTGACCCATGCCTCCTTCAGAGAGCTCTGGATTTAACCCATAAGTGAAGCTGGGGCATCTGGAGTAAAGGTAAGGCTTAACTGATGGTGTACGTGTATTAGGCAAGTGTAGCTCCCACAGAAGCACTATCTGATCCATCAGCCAACACGAATAATCACCTGGAAGCGAATTGCCTTGTTCATTTATCGGGTGCTGATTTAACACACCTACACATTGCAGCAGGGCCTGGCAGTGACGTTTCTAGGCTAATGGTACCTGTGTCACCTCCCAGGCCACATGCCAGATGCCTGCTCAGTATCCCCTCCGGGAGCTGGGGTTTCTGTGGAGGCTGGAGTGGGTTGGTGCTGGCTGCAGCTCACCCATCTCCTCTGGACACCTCTGCACCATGTTCCTGTCACACGGGGGAGACACAGCCCTGGCTGCTAGTGATGATGCAGTTAGGCTGAAAAGATCTAACGTATGCAAGAAAGTGGAGAAGGACTTAAGCCTGACTAAAGTCAATGGCTACATCATGTACTTTTGAGACAGAGATACTGGGAGTGGAAGAGATGACTGTTTTCAGCAGTGAAACTACTGCGCTCAGGAAAACAACCAGACTTGGGCAATGACTTTCTCATCCTTGTGTAAAACAGCATTACAAAATTCCAAGCTAACTCCTTGGACCAGAAAAAAGGCATTATTTAAGGCATTAATACCGAGGCTCATCAAATGTGTAAGAGCAGAGAAGCAGTTGCCCATTGTTTCCAGAAGTGTGTAATAAGGGTATGAAAGACTAGGGGAGAGACCATATATACAGTAAGATGAATGGGTCCTTTAATGAGACATAGAGCCATAATCCAGGAGTGGGCAGGGTTAGTTCAGATTTCAGCTTGTGGAAACTTGGGAAACGTTGTTATGAGGATTTAAGCACTTACCTCCTTAGAGAATCCACTCCACAGGATCTTGTTTTCATTGATAAAGAGCCTCTCCCCTTTCTTGGCATAAACATTGTAGTGCCCAACCTCCTCAAAAACGACTGAACCATCTTCCGGAGAGAGATGCCAATTGATAATCGAGTAGTTCCCTACCAGGTCCCCAAATTCATCAAAATCCACTTGCTCCCCCATGTTATTGGTGAAATTTAAGTGGCGCAGATGCTTGAGAACCTAGAGAGAGAGAGAGACAGAGAGACCATGAACACCTTTCCACTGCCCTACCACAGCACACATCTGCTATGGGGACAAAACTGGAAATAATCAATTCAATGCAGTCTTTCATCTCTCAAAAAACACTTAATCACAACAGCAGCAGGCTTTCTTTCATAGACATCACACAGAGCCTGTACAAATCTCGTGGAGAGCACAAGGTATCACGGCCCTCAGGGTGGACGGCACCTATCTGCAACACTTTCCTTACCAGCTGCTACCCCATCAGCCTTTTAGCATCCCTTCCAGCCACCTCTGCAAGCCTGCAGCTCTCCTTCAGGGACAGAGAACTGGCAGCAGCCACTGAAGTGTTTTGGTCACTCACACACCCCTCTTACCCCATGCTCTTGCAACCGTTCTGTATAAAAGCTCTCAGATGGCATCGCTCGTCTCTGAATGATCAATCACTCAGAAACAGTAATGGCTGAGAAACAACCCAAACTCGGCTTTTGATTGAAAACCGCCAAGCCCAACACACTTCAGTAAAAAACAACAAATCAAACTCGTTCCCCACGTGGCAGGCCTAGAGAATTCATAGCACTTTTTCTTGGCTCCTGTCTCCTGGTTGCATAGTTTCAAGTAATCACATTCTGCCTGTCTGCACATGTTGACTCCTGCAATTTTCACCTCATGCCTTAAACTGTCATACGCTGCAGACAGGAGCAGTTAATCCCAGGGACAACTGCAGCTGCAAAATTCACGATTGAGACAGCCTGACAGGTAGACCAAAGAAACTGCAGCGTGAAAAAAAGATGATACTGGCAACTGCGATCCAATTCATCCACACCGTATTTTTCATCTAAAGTTAATTGATGGTTTATGCAGTTATCAGATTTTTTTTTTTTTTCTCCCTCATTTAATAGATGTTCTTAGTTTCTCTGTAGAGCTCACCTACAGAAAGCTGAAGGCACCTGGCTGTCAGCTGTCCCTAGACCACTATGGGACTTGCTGCTGTGGTTCTAGTGCCTGCAACAGCCTGTACCTGTACTCCCAGTTCTCTCTCTCTCACCTGCAGGTGCTGAAACATACAATCCTGGATGGCAAAATGTAAGAAAAACCAAAATGTAATCAATTTGTCTGGGCAGACAGAGCCCTCCTCACCCCATAGATGTGGAACAGACAATATTGTTTTGATGAAGCCTTTTGACCTGGAAACACAGGGATAGGGGAACAAAATCATTTCATTAATTCCTGTCAGTTTTGCTAAATTGTCTCATTTTTCTCTGTTTCCTTTTGGTATCCTCCCATCTCAAGCTAAAATCCCCAGAGCTACAGAGATACCCTCCTTTCACTGCCTGTATCAACGCCAGCCTGACAGAGTCTGAAAAAATCATAGTCGCACTATGCAAGACGTGGCTGGCAATACCTTTTCAGCTTTGGGTGATGTTGATGGAAGTACATCAAAATATTGCCACAGTATTCTGTCTTTGAAAAATGTGTGAGATGGCAGAGGCAGGATTTTTTTCTGTCTCTCTCATCCCTGCTAGCCTTCCTCTGTAGACCTGCTCCTCCATAAGGTCTGCACCTGTGATGATGTCACTGAAGGGCCAGTACTTGTCCCTAGAAGATCCTGCCTTCTGATGGATATAGCAAAAGAAAGATGCTCTGCTCTGGCACTTTGCTGTGGAGAGCTGGGGCATTGCCTGCTGTGAGGAAGAAAAGAGGCGACTGCTCTCCTCCTTCTCATCCCTGAGGGGCACCCAGGAAGATGCTACTTGCCCAGCTCCAGCAGGGAACAGAGCAAGAACAGGGCAGTCAGTTCTGAGGTCAGAATGGGTGACACAGGATCTGCAGATCCAGGGTGGTGTCTGAACTGCATCAACACACTTTGGCCTTGTCTGCAGTGGGACTGCAATGCTGGATGTGTTAGCAGGAACCTTGTCCACCAGCAGCGCAGGTCCCAAGCAGGGAACCACGTTCCTCTGCAGGCTCTAGCACCTACCACAGGTAGGCTGACACCTGCAGCTTTCACAACCACATCAGATTTGAGTTGTTATGCTGAGCTGAATATCATGTTTCTCCACGCTCCCAACTGAGTATTGTGCTCTCATGCAGCACTGAAGCACTCTGCTGAACTACACCAGGTTGTCCTGACTGGGTATCACTGCTGGGTTGACTGCTATCTGTATATATAGGAGCTCCAGACCTTGCACTTCTTTTGTTTACAGTTACTACATAACGTTAGGAGACAATCTTGCAAAAGCCATATTGAGGATTCTCTGATTCAAGTCCTGCCAGCTGCAGTGGCAGAAGGCTGACTGGTCTTACAGTCAGTGAGATGAACACTAGAGAAACTTCTGGATTCCCTGGATGCATTTTTTTGGGGGGGGGTTAATTTCATACCATTCTTCTCATTTAGTCTATTCCTTTGCTTTACCTCTTGATATTAGGTTTCTTAGGCAGCAACACTGGTGGGTTTTTTGTAGGATTAGTTTAGCAGCATGTTTCTGTTGGTCACACACATACTACACCTGAGGATTCAGGTTATAAACCAGTTCATGTATGAGCTGATACCTCTATCCGGTGTGTAAATTTTCATATAAAAGCCCTGATCTGCACTTAATGTTGTCTTTCCCCAGGCACAGAAGAGCAGCTTCAGCTATGCAGCCATAGCTGTGGAGCAGCAGAGCCCAGGTCTATCAATTCATGCAGGGAAGCCCAGGTCTATCAGTTCATGCACAAAAGATATGTGCCCTGTGTAAAATCCCAACTGGAGAGGCAACAGGAACAACAGGAGTAACAAAACCCCTTTTCTCTTTCCAGCAAATAGCAAAGTTTGCCTTCAAGTCTAAATTTCTGATGGTAACTGTAGGACATGTTTCTGTTTTAGATGGTAAGAAAATCCCAGGATGGTACCTGTGTATCATACAAGTTCTGCTCTCTACAGGAGGAAAACACTGTTTAAACAGCCAAGGAATATATAAGCACTAAACTTTAAAAGAGGAAGTTGTAGACTCTGAGTAACTACAGCACTCTTTTACAGCACCAGTCTGTCAATGATTAGCTAAAGGCTTTACAGTTAAAAATGTGTCACTGTTTTGTAACTAAAGATAGTAACATAAATACCCAGGACTCAATCCACAAAGACTTAAAAGACCCTGCTTCAGCGAGGGCAAGAGCACATGTCAGGGGTGCACGGATCATATCCTGGAACCAAGAGTTTACGAAAGAATTGTTGACCTCGTGGCTTGAATGCACTGTCAGCAGCTGGTGGAAGCCTATAGGGAGAGCATCATGCAAACCATGGTCTTCAGATATTTCCATCATTTTTCCATCTTTTTTTCCCCCCTGTCGCAGGCTCCACATTGAATTACAATTATTTTTAATTAAAACACTTATTATCAGAAAGGACTTGCAAGCTGCCCTCTATTTGATCCTCCCATTATTCCTAGTAATGCCATTCCCAGCCACATAGCATCCCATGCTTTACCCAGGCCAGATATTCTGGGTAATGTGGTTTCCACTCTTGAGGAAGGATCATAAAGACATAACATACAGTTGTATTAGGTCAGGCCAGCAACCCATCTCCCCAGGACCTGTTTCTGACCATGGCCAACAGCAAATGCCTACACAAGAGCCTACAGCAAATGCCTAAAAGAGTAGAAAGGGACGTGATACTTTCTCCGAATACTCTCACACTTTTTGCAGCTCAGTGACTTCCTGGGCCAAAGGTCTTTGTACTTGATACCCTGCAGTGGATTTTTCTTCCATGACGTTGCACATTTGTGTTCTGCATCTGTGCAGACTTTTTACATCCACAGCCTCCTACAGCAAGAAGGTCTACATTTTATGAAAAAAGCACCTCTTCTTGCCTGTTGGAATGGAGCAGTTACTAATCCCTTTTAATGCCCTTTGTGCCTATGTTGGAAGAGGCAAAGAACTGTCATTTGCTCGTCACCTTTTCCATGCCTCTCAGGATTTTGAAAACCTTTGTCAGATCTCTCTTCAGCCAACTCCTTCCCAGGCTGGTAAGTCCTATCTGACTTTGCTGCTTCTTGTACAGAAGCTGTTCCATTGATCCTTCTCCAAACTTTTCCAGTCTCCATCAATTCTGACACCAGCACGTGATACTGAAGTGAGACACACCACGGGTTAATGAAGTGCACCCAAGGCACTCCGTTTACCTCTGTCCCTGTTTCCAGTGTGCCTATTCCTAGCAGTGCATTTTCTTCTTTGACTACTACTCAGCCAGAGCTCAGGAGTCCACTTAAGGACCTGTTCAAGCTTGAAGACTCAATTTTTGATTAGTCATAACTCCCCATCTAGTTTTATTCTATGCTGAGTATCTTTCAACCATTCATCCACGTGAGGACTGAATTTGGTGACAGACTTCCAGAAGCCTTTTAGAAGCCTGAACATTATGAATAGGAGTTCTCTTACCCACATACATCCCTATACCTTCAAAGACAGGTAGAGCCTGTCTTTACAAAATTCATGGTCTCACCTCCTCAATATATTCGATGTTTTCTTCTTTTTTTTTCTTTTTTTTTTTTTTTTTTTTTTTTTTTTTTTTTTTTTTTTTTTTTTTTCTGCAGTTTATGATAATGGCCTCAGTCAGGCTTTACTAATTCTTTGGATGTCCTCTAGAACTCTTTCAGAAAATTGATGTCATATCTGTCAATTTTCTAGGCTTCAGGGCCCAAGACTATTCTAAGTGAGGCGTTGGTAACTGCAGCCAGAACTTCAGCTACTTCACCTGTGAATTCTGGCAGAGCTCTTGGGTGGACATCATTCACTCGCACCAAAGTATGAAGGTTCATTTTGCTCTTGAGTTTCATAGCTGCTTCTGCAGCCACTTCAATATTGGACAGATCCTTTACAAGTTCCTCGTTATTAAATAAACTCAGGAACCTTCTCAAGTTTGTCCATAAAGAGCATATTTTTCTTCTGCCACGGCCTTACCTTGTCATTTGAAGTGATAATCCATGGCTCAACAGACACTCCTACTGCTGAAGTGTTTA